TTAAAAAGGCAAAAGTACAAAGAAAAATAAACAAATAATTGCTTTTGATATATCAAATTTTATGACTTCCGACATTTCTCTGATTTGGTTAAACCATTCTTTGCTTTTCATTCAAAAGCATTGGCGAAGATAGAGTTATATTTTTTTTATTTTACATAACAACAAAACTGATTACTTTCACAGAAAATAATGTGTGTTATAATGTACAACACCAAATATCATTCTCTTTCACATTAGATCATTTTTAAAACTTATATGGTAGATCTTTGAAATTGTCATCATTGATGTTTTACATTTAACTATATACTTTATTTATTTTGTCCCTGGTGAAGGTTTTATATTCTTACATTTTAAACATGACAAATTTTAACATTCTCATTAATCGAAAAAAAAAAATACAATTGGGACATAATCAGTAAAATTTTTTTCCTTGTTTAAATACAAAATAAAATTTGTATGTGTATTATCTATCTATCTATCTATCTATCTATCTATCTTTATCTTTATATCTATCTATCCATTGTGTGTCAGAATTAAATGATCTATTTCAATCTATATATTTATCTATCTATCTATTTGTTATCTATATATCTATATATTTCTATCTCAGTCTGTTGTATTATTCTATAAATCTATCTATCTATCTATCTATCTATCTTTTCTCAGTCTTTTCATTATTCATCTATCTATCTATCTCAGTCTGCTTTTTATTTATCTATCTATCTATCTTTTTAATCTATTCATTCATGTTAATTGCCTTTCTATCTATCTATCTATCTATCTATCTATATATCTATCCTTGTTTGTTTATATCAATCTAAACTATCTATCTATTTATTCATGATATCTTTATTTGTTATATGTATTATCTGTCTATATATATTTATAAATAAAATATTTGGAATTTGTTTTAATAAATATTGCATAAATTGTTAGTTCTTAAATTTCTCGAAATGTTTCAAAATAATTGAAAATATTTTTGACTTTATTCCATAATACTGTGGATATAAAATTTAAAATCCACCATTTGTTTTTTCCTTTTCTATTTTTTAATGGATACTTAATTTTATTTATATAAATAACCTAGAACAGGCGTCAATTTTTATTAATTTCAAAAATAAAGAATTAATAGAAACCATTATCGCAAAAATTTTTGGTCAATTTACATAACTCTATATAAGAAATTCCACTGATCAAAATTATTAAAATTCTTTTTAGAACAATTTTTCAGTTCAAATAATTCCGGTCGTTGTTAAATTTAATCAATGTACATCATTCTGAAACAGAAAAAATTTATATATTACTTTATATATATTTGTTAATATTGTGATTATTTTCTTTGATACTTTATTTTTTCAATATTAGATAATTATTAAAATATATATATATATATATATTGATAACAGGAACGCATAAACATGATTTTGTACAAGGTTACGGATAGAGGTGACTTGTCAAATTTGCGTTTAATTTGCCAATAAAAAAGACAAACCTGGGAGGTATCATGCGTAATGGAAAAATTGAGAAAACAAAATATCTATATATCTTCTTCAATCTATGTATCTATATATATATATATATATATATATATATATATTCAAATTTTAATAAATTTATTGTTTTAATTTTTTTTTAATGACATTTTATATTTTATCTATAAAAAAATGTATAAAAATAAAAAATAAAAATAAAAATAAAATTAAAATTGTCCAATTCAAAATGTGTGAATTTCATTTGTTTACATTTGGATACGCATCGAGCAGATATGAATGTACGTAAAAAAATCTTGGAAGATTGTAGTTTAAAAACAGTAAAATCAGCCTTGAAAATTTACATATCTCTGTAAATCGATCGGTAAAGCATGTCAGGCTATATGACGGTTCCGTATAGGATACAGGTTCGATTCCTGTTATTGAACTTTTATATTTTCTATGAAAATTTTGGTTTTTGGACATTCAGGCCAGTAAATGTTGTTAATACTGTTTATTATAAACAGATTATTTAATATAAATATTTGTATCTATAAAAAACAATGTATAATATATAAAATGTTTTCATATATATATATATATATATATATAGGTGCGATGGATAAATTGTCGTCTAAATTACGCAAAAATGAAAAATAACACTGACATCTCATTTTAACAGATATATTTACCAAAATTACACAAAAATATCTTGAAATACTAAAGAGTAAATTTATTCAATAAAATCGCCATTGGCTTCAACCACAGCCTCCAGACGACTTCGAATCTCCTGCAACTCTTTTGGACGGTCTCCTTGTTTTAAGTTGGTGAATGCTGCCATAATCCTTTGCTTTCAGTTCATCTTTGGTGTTACAAGGAGTTTTGTTGGTCTCTCGCTCAACTGCACCCCACACACATATATAATCAAGGGGTTGCAGTCTGGGGAGTTAGGTGGCCAGATGTAAGGGGGTGATGTGGTCGCAGAAATTGTCTGACAGCCATGACTGGGTTCTCCTGCTTGTGTGGCATGGTGCAGAGTCCTGTTGCCAGACATAGGGTCTTCCAGCAGCCACCCTCTTGACCCAGGGGCACAGCACTACCTCCTCAAGGCACTTTGATGTAGGCCTCCATGTTGAGTCTGAGGTTCTGTGGGAAAATGAATTGGAGGCATAACGTCGCCATCACTAGTGATCACTCCAAACTTCTTTGTAATCACCATTAGACTCATCCAACTCTTTTCCCAATCCTGTCCTCAGATTGACACCCACAAACACTCTGAAATGTTCGTATTGGAACTTACGGCGCGAATGCCAAGCAGTACAGCATGCCGTTTTCAAAATTTCTGGCAGAGAGAATTGGGTCATGGTGCTTTTTTCTCACAGACGGTGCCCAACTGACCCTACTATACTGTGCAGTCGACAAAATCAAAAAAAAACAACGCGCATGCGCGAAATTAAAAATATAAAATGGCGACAATTTACCCATCATAATGTATAGTATATATAATATTGCCTTCTATCTATCTGTATATATATATATATATATATATATATTTATATATATATATATTTATTATATAATTCAAAGAATGATTAGAGATATAAATTTTGAAATATTTTAATTTTTAGAATGATTGTTTTTTGTTTTGTTTCGATTTATTTAAAAGATTCAATCAATTTATGTCACATTTTTTTCAACTGAAAACTTGTTTGAAATAACATCGGATATTATTCAAATTTATATATATATAAATATAGATATTGCCATTAAATAGAAAACAAAATAAATATTTATAATAAAAAAATATTTCTGAAAAATTCATATTCCATTCAATATTATAAGTTTAAAGAAGTATTTTTTTAATTTTTTTAAAAAAATTTGGTATTTATTTATATTTGTATATTTTTATATATATATAAATTGAAAAATAAATTTTTTATATATGAAAAAATTTTTTTTTATAATTCCTAAAATTTAATGGTTATTTTGATGAATTGTTTATTTTTTAAATTTTTTTTTTTTGGTATAATGTTAAAAAAAATTTTTTTTTTAAATTTAAATTAAATTTTGTTTCCATTTTATAAAACATTATATATATATATATATATATATATATATAATATATATATATATATATATATATATATATATATATATATATCATATAATTTATGTATGTTTCTTGCAAATATCTGTCAGAGGTAAAAATTCTCATTTCTCTGTTTTTTTTGTGATCGTTTATTTTATCATGAGAAATATCAAAAAGTTTCATTTAAAATTCCAAAATTAAAAAATTTCAATTTTTGTGAAAAAAATTTTAAGTCATTTTTAATAATTAATATTTAATAAATGTTTTTAATATTTAAATAAATGGACTCAAAATTCGTTTGTCCTTGTTTTATTAAAAAAAAGTATCTTTATTTTTTTTTATAAAAATGATATTAATTGTTTTAAAAAATTCTGTTATATATATATATGTCGCATGTGTATAAAATATAAAAACATGCTTTAATTTTATATATATATATATATATATATATATATAAATATTTTTATAAAATATATCATTCATAAAAAATTAGATTAATAAAGTTAATATTAAAATTTTAATGAATTCAAAAATCAAAAAAATTTTTAAATAATCATTAATCTACAAATCAATATATTGTTATGATCTTTGTTTTAAAAAAAATATAAGTATTTATATACTTTCTTTAATACAAAAGTAAACTTTCAACTGTTTTCATTTTATAATTCATCTTTTATTATGGAAATGATTTGTTTTTTTTTTAAAATCATAACATCCGAAAAAGAAAAAAATTGTAAGATTAAATGATTTTTTTTTTTATTTAATATAAATATACAATTTAATTATATTTGAACATTTTGAAAAAATTCAGTCTCAACAGATTAATTGAATGTTTTTTGAAATTAAAAGAAATTGCGTTTTTTTAAATAATAAATAATTTGAAATATTTTTTATTTAAAATTTTTTTTTATATAAAAAGTCAATTCAATTTTTTTTTTTAAGTAAAAGTTAATGTTAAAAATTCCAATTTAAAAATTTGTCCTTAAAAAAATAATATTTTTAAAAAAATTTAAAAAATTTAAAATAAATATTTAAATTTAATTTAAAAAAGAAATTATTTAACGTCCCCTCATGGTAATTTTTAAAAAAAAACATTTTTTTATTCAAAAATAAAAATATCATTTTCGAAAAAGTTTCAAATTTTTCATAATTTTTTATATTTATTTTTATATATATATATCTATATATATATATATATATATCAATAGATAGATAAATAGAAAAAAATAGATATATATATATATATATTATATAATAAAATATTTAATATATATATATATATATTATATGCTTGATAATATATAGAATATTATATTAAAATAATGAAATGATTTTTAGATTTCGATTGAAATAGATTGATACCATAAAATTAATTTATTGTAAAATAAAACATCCAAATGAGGTATTTAGATTGCTCAAAGATAATAGATAGATAAATAGATTTATAGATATAAATATTTAATATATATTATTAGATAGATAGATAGATAGATAATAGATAGATATATAATAAATTTATATTTCTTATTATCAACTTTAAAAAAAATGATATATGTTTTTTTAATTTATTTATATTTATTATATTTATATTTTTTATATTTTTTTTATAATGAAATAGATTGTCATTTGAAATAATAATAAAATTTTTTTATTTATGAATATAGATAGTATTTATGATAGATAGATATATTGATACATATATATATAGATAATTGATAAAATCATATAAAAATTTTTTTAAATCTCTTATCTATTCTTAAATCTATGAATAATTGATTTATATAATATAAAGAATAAAACTGATATTTTTTCTTAGATAATTTCAGTATTTTAATTTTTTAAGAATTTAAATTCTGAAAAAAATAATGTAAAAAATACAATAGCAAACCATTCATTATATTTGAAGGTTAATATTTATATTAAATAAAAATTTAATCTGTATATGTTTTGATTGCCTGCATATTAAAAAAATATGTCATTTTAAGATATAAAACGATTTCTATATTTTAATGAATGAAAATAGAACTTTTTTTTTTTTATATTTCCCATAAAAAATGAATTATTAGGCATTTATAATTTCTTTTCTTTTGAATCTCTCTTCTCTTTATTGTAATATGTATTAATGTGTATATATATATATATATACTAATTTAATTTTTTTCCAAATTTGACTGTTTTAAATGAATTGATCATTTTATTATATTATATGATATATATATTTTGAAATTTATATTTCATTTTTAATAATTTTTAAAAAATTTTCATCAATCAATTTTTTTTCAATAAAATATATTAATTTAATATATTTGTTTTAAATAATGAAAATATATTTTTTTTATTTATTTAAACAATATATTTATATATTTATTATATATATATTATAAATATTTAAAGAAAAATCTTTGCTTAACCAAGTAAAAATTAAATTAAAATAAAAAAGGATTTTTTTCAAAAATATTTTCTATTTTATTACATTGTTAAATAATTTAAATTTGAAAAAAATTTATAATGTGGTTATCGCCAATTTATTTCATATATTTTATATATATAAATTTTCTAAATAAATTTTTATTGTAATAAATAAATTATACTGCACCAAAATGATTTAAAAAAATAAAAATAAGAAATATAAATTTCGGGATAAAAATTGAGACATTATTCTATTTTATTGAACAATTTATTTCATAAAATTGAATTTAAAAATATCAAAATAAAAAAAAAATATTAAAATTGTAAAAAAAATATATATAAATATGACTTAAAAAAAACAAAAATTCAACCTTAGCGTTGTGATTATGTTTTTAAATTTTTAACCAATATAAATATAAAAAAAATATTTTAAAAAAAACATGTTTCAATTTATTTTATTTAAATATTTTTACAAAAAAAAAAATAATTTAAATATTTATCCGATAAGATTGAATAAAAATATATTTTTTTTAATATTAAAAAATTGAAAATATATATATATATATAATTTTTAAAAATCAAGGATCGTCATATTTATCAATTGATACATAAAAATTCTTACATAAAATTTTGTTATAAAATTTAATTTTTATTTTTATATCATTAACGTTACAATCTACTTTTTATATATATATTTTAATTTATTAATTTTAAAATATTAATGATATATTTTTTACACACACACACACACATATATATTTATATATATATATATATTTATATATATATATATTTTCATATATATAATGTATATATATATAAATATATATTTAAAACATTTTTTTAATTTTATCCTGTTAAAATGTCCTAAAATTTATTAATTAATATAATAAAAATTTTCCATGTTGTAATATATATGGTTTTAAATTCTTGTTACATTTTATCTATTTTATTTTTTTTTTGTTTTTGAATCAACCTTTAATGGGTTATTTAATGCTACAAAAATTTTTTATTGGATATGGAAATTTTGTTTTGTCAAAAATTATTTCTGGTAATATATTTCCTTTACAAAATTATATTATTGTTGACAAATTTTTTTCAAAATACATTGCTATATAATATAATATAAGATTTTTATATAATATGGGATCCACTAACATTATCAACCACCATTTACAAATTGGACCTGAGAACACCATAATTATATATATGGTTCCATATATTAAATTAAAACCTCCTGCTCAAGATTTGTTTACTATGGACGTAGTTTAACGTCTTAAAATAGGACGCAGATGTAAATTAACGTCTTACCCATTTTATTTACTTTTATTGAGGGCTGTTCTGTTTTAAATTCCAATATATATCAAATATTTGAAATAAAATTTTAGAAAAAGAAAACGCTATTATCCTGGGATAAAAAATATATATATATATATATATATATATATATATATATATATATATATATATATATATATATATATATACGAATTAAACATATATATTGAATATATATATATAACCCTTAGGTCATGCCTTTAAATTGTTTAAATTTATAATATAGACTCAATATATTTTATATTTATATTTCATTTTATTTATATAAAGTCTATAACTGATATTGTATTTTTCTTTTATATACAAAAATATCTGCATTTGTACAATACATATATTGTTTCTAACACATAAATATCCAATATAGATATATATATATATATATATATATATATATATATATATATATATATATATATTTGAACAATAAAAAAATATTAAAAAAAAATTAAAATCTTCAGACACACTGGGTTGTAGATTAATATTCTTTCGTTTTTTTTATTATTATTTCATTTAGATTCCTCGACTAGTTTCGGCCAAAATGGCCATCATCAGGAGAAGTATTTCTGCTTGCTGGTAAGCAGTAAACTACAGAAATTAATGTATTGATAGAAAAAATGAACTTTTGTCTGTAGTTTTCATTTGTTTTTGTTTTTTTATTTTTTTTAACATGAATTTTTTTAACATTCCTTGTGTTGGTCAAACAGTCTCTTTTAAGTTGTTATTTGAGATAAGAGCTGGATGGATCTATGCTTCTCTGAATTCCCCTGGTCAGTTTGACAGTTTTACTGGTCCTGGAGAGGGGATGTGTCTCTGTTTAGTGTTTGTGTGTGTGTTATTTGGTTCTTAGGGAGTGAGTGAGTATGATATGTGTGTAAACGTGTGTATTGCTGTGGGTGTGTGTTATCATTTGGCTCATTAGGGAGTGAGTGAGTATGATGTGTGTAAGTGTGTATATTCGTGTGGGTGTGTGTGTATAAGTGTGAGGCCTCCACACCTCCGTAAGCATGTCTGTCTTGTGTGGGTGAGAAATGTGAGTAGGTTTTGATTTGTTGAGTTATATATTAGTACTATCTATATTGTTAAATATATATATATATATATATATATATATATATATATATGTATGTTGTATGTATGTATGTATTTATATATATTTATCGCGCGTGTCCTCTCTTTCCAATGTTAGATAAACGCGGGATTGTTTTCTATTACGCGTACATACATACATAGAATGTCATGGAAAAGGACATTATATCTCCGCAGCTGCTTACCCTGGCATAGGTATTTGACAAGAAATCATTTCATTTTAAGTCCTTAGAAAGGAAACAAACAGGTCTTGTGACTTTACGCTTTATATTTCATCCAAGCGAAATATGTAAGACGTGGAAGTCCATCCTTTACATTTGACTCAAATTTAACAGTCTTGACATCTCGGCACGTTTGTTGAAGCCCATCAGGAAGGCATCAATCTGATCCTTGAAAGGTATATTTTCAAGGAAGCTTTCTGACTAAAAGTTGTCTGCGCATGCGCAAGAATATATTTGCCAAGCGATGCACTCGTTTTTTATCCAGTTTCCATTGCTATATTTTAGTTTTTTATTGTATATATTCCTAGGAATTTTAAGTTTTCTTTTCAATTTTTATTTCTATATTTTAGGGGTTTTTTTTATTGTATATATTCCTAGGAATTTTAAGTTTTCTTTTCAATTTTTTTAATTGCTTTTATTTTATTTATTTTTTTATTGTTTCTTTTCATATTCCTAGGAATTTTGGTTGTTTTTCTTTTCAATTTTATTGCTATATTTTTTTATTGGTTTTTTATTTCTTATATATATATTCCTAGGAATTTTAAGTTTTCTTTTCAATTTTTATTGCTATATTTTAGGGGTTTTTTTTATTGTATATATTCCTAGGAATTTTAAGTTTTCTTTTCAATTTTTATTGCTATATTTTAGGGTTTTTTTTATTGTATATATTCCTAGTAATTTTAAGTTTTCTTTTCAATTTTTATTGCTATATTTTAGGGGTTTTTTTTATTGTATATATTCCTAGGAATTTTAAGTTTTCTTTTCAATTTTTATTTTATATTTTAGGGTTTTTTTTTTGTATATATTCCTAGGAAAGTTTTTTTTCAATTTTTTTTATATTTTATTTTTTGAATATATTCCATAATTTTAAGTTTTCTTTTCAATTTTTATTGCCATATTTTAGGGTTTTTTTTTGTATATATTCCTAGGAATTTTAAGTTTTTTTTTCAATTTTATTGCTATATTTTTAATATGGGTTTTTTATTGAATATATTCCTAGGAATTTTAAGTTTTCTTTTCAATTTTTTGATTGCCATATTTTAGGTTTTTTTATTGTATATATTCTTAGTTATTTTAAGTTTTCTTTTCAATTTTATTGCTATATTTTAATATTTTTTTTGTATATATTCCTAGTAATTTTAAGTTTTCTTTTCAATTTTATTGCTATATTTTAGGTTTTTTTTTTTATATATATTCCTAAAATTTTAAGTTTTCTTTTCAATTTTATTGCTATATTTTTAGGGTTTTTTATTGTTATATTCTATTTAATTTTAAATTTTTTTTTTCAATTTTTATTTTATATTTTTAGGGGGGTTTTTTTTGTATATATTCCTAGGAATTTTAAGTTTTTTTTCAATTTTTATTGCTATATTTTAAATTTTTTTTTTGTATATATTCCTAGGAATTTTAAGTTTTCTTTTCAATTTTTATTGCTATATATTTTAGGTTTTTTTTTATTCCTAGGAATTTTAAAACGCAC